ACTTTTTATAAAAGTTCCACTTCGATTTAATATAATATTGGATAATAAAAGTAAAATATACAGGATTTAAAATGATGCTATTTAGAAAGTAGTCAAATTAACCGTACTGGTCGAAAATTTCAAATAAAACTTATTTTCAACTTTTCATCCAGTAAATGACAATTTTTTAACATTATTCATTATAAATAATATAGACAAGATCAGTACAAATAGAACGACGTAAACAGTTTTTCGATATCTCTCATATTTCCGACAAAAAGTGAGTTTGAAAAAAGGGGCCACTTTCACATGTTTTCACTGATATCTCGGCCAAATGATGAGCTACGGATTTGAAATTTGGTATACCGAATTTTCTCGAAAATACCTATAAAATGGCATCAAAATAATTTAAATACCAGGGTGGGGCCAATTCTGTATGGAAACACGCCCAGACCCTTTCTGAAATACCTTTATTATAAAACATATAAAATTTACCCTGAACGTGGCTTTGACCACAACACTTTACTAAAAGAATTTGGTATTCCTTCCCTTGTCTCACGTCGATTTATCTGTACAATTATGTTCTTATTTAAGCTTTGCAATAATTCTATAGACTGTCCTCTTATTCTCAATCAACTATCCTTTAATGTTCCAAGGCTATCTTCGCGTTCACAATTATTTTTCAATTATCCTACCCCTAAATCGAATTCTCTCTTACATTCGCCAATTTTACTTATGTCCTCTAACTTTAACTTAATTAATAATGAAATAGACATTCACAACACTTCACCTAATCAAATAATCTCCATCTGCACAAGTTAATCTTTTTATTTTCTTTCAAATATCTCATTATTTTCTTATTCTGTTTATAAATATTATTGTTACATTCTGCATTATGTGTAATTTTATCTTAAGCATTTTATGTTACTAACTATATATTGTAATTTTGTATATATTTTAATTGTTATTCATTATGTAAAATAATTGTATTTTTGAGTCCTCTTGGAGAAATCTGTGGGCTATATATTTAAATAAATAAATAAATAAATAAATAAATAAATAAATAATTTCCTATAAAACGTTAATAGTAAATTTTTAATAATAAATAGTTTTACACCTCATAGTGCGTTTACAGCATAAAAAGTATATTAATTAAATAAAAACGATATTACACAAAAAATACATCATAACAAATTTCTAATTTAAAAAATATAAAATTCTGCATTAAAATGTTAGGTCATAAAAGGGGAAAAATAGGGGAAAAAAACGAGGAAACAAATGTGGGAAAATAATTTGGAAATTGTTTTTTGGAAAAAAAAAATTGGGGACCGAATTTTTAATGCCCGCAAAGGCAAATGCATTTTATATTTTAGAGAATGTGCTATTGAAAAATGCATACGACGTCGCATATGTAGTAAACTTTCAGCAATAAGGTGCAGTTTAAACAAGGTTTCATATTCTATATATATAATAAATCTATACAATTAAATTAAATTTAAAAACTTGTATTTCAATGTACAACACTATGGATTACCTTTTATAAGTGGTGATTTAAAAATGAGTAATAGGCTGCGGCTGCTCTTGGCAATTGGACGTTTAGCGTCCAACTGGACCCCCTTGAAAATATCTTTAACTTCCCAAAGTAGAAACTTATTTCTCGACGTTGCAAGTCTTTACTATAATTCACCTTTCTCCTACTTCAGATAGGATCATGAGGCATGGTGCAAACGCTAGACCTGACGGAAGTATTGCAAATGCACTATTTCGAAGCGTGCTATATTCATGTACTACATAAATAATAGTTATAAATTATGCTAAAATATCTGAAAATATCTATTAAAATTGTTAAAAAAATACATGGATTATAGTTCAAATTATTAAAAAACATAATAAACTTGGACATTATTTGGACTAATTATAATCAATAATTTTATTTATACATATCATCGCCTCTCCTTGATCACGTCATTAGGATCCATATAAATGACCTTGACCAGATCATTGAGGTCAGCACAAAAACTGCCTAAAAATGCAAGAAGTTATCAGAAAATTCCCATAGAAAAAATGTGAAATTTACAAAAGGTCGATTCTGCTCTCCTGAGCGAAAAATTGCTCCATTGACTGGAATAAATATTCCGTATCCAATGCCAAACAAATTAGTTTTCCACACAATGAAACTTATAAATAATTTTTTGAATTAGTAAAGTAAGGCAAAAAACGACTGTATTGGTTAAAAAAAATATCTGTCAAATTGAATTATATAATTTCATCTGCCAAACATATACTGTAACTTATATTATTTTAATTTCTGGCACATCTCAGCTGCTTTTCGGCAATAATGATGTAGACTTGTTAGCATCAAGAAATCTGTAGGAGAAAGATATTATTAACATTGGCTATATATAAACTCGTGTTCAATAAGAAATTTTCTCAGATTTTTATCGTTTATCGAGCTTACCCCGAAATGGAATACAATTTTATATAAACATACATACATATGTACATAAAGTAAATAGGAGAAATAACTAGGTGTAAGAGACATTTTGCCTTAATGCAAGTTGCATGAACTTTCCGATAATTGTAAATAATCAAACTTAATCAATAAGAATTGAAAATTGGCTATTTAGATAAATTTTTCTAATATTTATTTAGAAAATAAAGTTTTCGCTTTTCATTAAAAATTAATCAACGCAATTTCTAATTGATTTTATCACTTTATATTGTCAAAGCGCCCAGCCCCTTATTCAATTATTTAATTTTTTTTCTTATAATTAAACCGTTTTTTTATTTCTATATGATTTTTTAACTAACTAATAAATGGGAATTTTGAAATTGGTGTAGCGGAAGGAGTAAGAAACCATCAACGAAATGTAAACTTTCGGCTCACACAAGAAGATTATACACACATATACTATTTACAATTGTAGTCTCAAACTAGTAGTGTATGCCATCGTGCCTTAAGGCAAATTGCTGGAACTTCCCGTACCGTAACGAAATGTTCGAGGAATATTAAATATTGTTATATTATTTATTTTATATTATTAGATTATTATAAATACTGTAACATTGTATAATATTTATAAGAATTATATAAACTGAATCACAAATTCAAAAATATTTAAAGTATATAAGTGAACTTTAAAACTTTAGCCAGAATTAAAATGGAAATCTGAATTATTTTCGTTATACAAAAAAATGAAAACAAGATTAAAATAATTTTTTTTCCAAAAGCAATCGTTTTGTCAACACAAGCAGAAAGTTTTTTGAATCATTCGATTCGGGTACTTAATTTTATCTCAAAAATTGCCATTTTTTGTACATTTAGCTCTGTACCTTCGAAATGGCTGGGCCTGCCTTTGCCAAAAACTAATAACCACTTCTCCATATCATTACTAATTGAATGTTTTTTAGATTATTCAAATCGGATGCTCCGTTCTCTCAAAAACTCAATTTCTATTTTCTGCACTCTTTGCTCTTTATCTCCGTAACGGCTAGACCTGCCTATGCCAAAAACTAATCAGCACATCTCCCTATTAATAGAATCGAATATTTTTTGAACCATTCAAATCGGTTGATTCATGTAGAAACGTGGACAAAAACATGCGGATACACAAAACACGCACACGCACACACACACACACAATTTCAATCAACAGGTGGAACACGTTAGTGCTAAGGCGTCAATAGTTAGGACGAGACTTGCTCGACTGATGCCTAATGTTGGAGGATATTACTATCGTCAGTTGTTACTTCGGTGCTTACATATGGTGGTATCTCCTTACGGGCTGATGCTCTCAAAACTCAAAAATCGAGGAGAATCTATGTGCTATCTGAGCACGGCTGTTTTCGAGCCTATCTACACCGCTTCAAGCGCGATAGCTCGCCGGATTGCCCATATTGTTTGGGCGAATCGAAGATGCTGAGCATGTGTTCTTCGTGTGCCGAAATACAGAAAAACTAGTGGGGCGCATGGCATCGTGCCTTAAGGAAAATTGCTGGATCTTCCCGTATCAATAATTATTATTTTTTTAAAATCGATTAACATGTTTGAAAAATTTTACTTCGAAATAATTTGATTTTTGAGAAACTATAAATTTGACAAAAAATGATTTTTTCTTGAAAAAAATATTTTTTTTTTGAAAAAAAAAAATGTTTTCTTTATTTTGACATATTTTGTAAAATCTGAACATTTTTTCAAAGCAATCGTACTGCTTTAACTGCATAGAGACGGAATGTTAAAGTAAGTTATAATTTGCTGTGCACATGTCTAATGATCATTTTTGACCGCCAGATCTCCGAAACCGCTAGACCTGCCGTCATGAAAATTTGATCAATTCTTTATCTTGTCAATACAAGTAAAATGTTTTTTGAATTATTAAAATCGGCCGCTCCGTTCTCTTAAAAACTGGGTTACTGTTTTTGGCACTTTTTGCCCCGTATCTTCGGAACGGCTAGACCTGCCTTCGCCAAAAACTAATCAGCACGTCTCTTTATCAATACGAACCGAATGTTTTTTGAATTATTCAAATCGGTTGATCAGTGTTCCCGAAATCGTCGACGAAAATTTGTTTCCGCACACACACATACACACACACACACATTCATTCATTTTTTTAAGGTATGCCAAGATATTCAGAAAACTTTGAAACGTACATATATAAAAATTTTCATTTTCGATTTTTTTGCGATTACTATAACTTGCCCTACGGGAAGTTAATAAATCAGAATGACTTGAATGAAACGTCGAGAAAAACATAAAATGAATAAGTCGAATTTTCTGGTAAAAATAGAAACTCCAGGAAGTTAATAAATACAATCTTGATCTGGACATTTTGAATTCAAGTTCAGTTATTTCAATATTTAATTAAACTAACTAAAAATAATTAGAATATAAATACATTATATAAAAATAATTAGTACATTGAATCTTAATATACAGTCTATATCAAAATAATATAAAAGTTTATTCAATAATAACAAAGCGACACAATACAAATAAATATTAATATATTACTAGCCTGACATTAAATCCTAATTAATAATCATTTCCTCTTAACATCTACATTAGCTTTTTTCAGATGATGATAATTTGGCAAAACCTTTCGAAGGAAATCCAGTTGAAGATTCTGTGACTGTAAATATAAAAAACATTAAATACAGTGATAGATTTCAAAATGTTTTCATTAAATTTATTTACCGGTTGTTTATAAATCGCTTCTCTTTGATTGCAATTTCCATAAATCACTGTGTTATCTTCGAGAGTTCTTTTACCATCTAATACACAGCCTGGACCTACAAATATTGTGATTATGAACTTAATTTAGAAAAGGATATAATACTATATGATAAATTAAAGTTTTACCTGGATTTAATACATTTAATGTCAAAATGAATTGATTAAATTTTGGAGAAATTTATTTGATGAAAATTCAATTGATTTAGGGTGTTTTGAAGGCATAAATTGTTGAATATTTTATTTATGTTAGGCAAGTCATTTAAAAATTGTGAGACATATCCATATATAAAAATAGATGTATGTATGTGTGACTGTGTCCTATGCAATGCGTTCATGAACCATACACACGATCACCGTGAAAATTTTGAAAACTGTTAGGCATATCCGCGGACAGGTTTTCGCATATTTTGATTGAAACCAAGTGATAGAGGCAGATTGGTCACTCCAGAGATTTTTAACTTTCCGCTGGATAAGTTGTTATAATCGTCCAAAAATCAAAATTGATTTTTTTTGCATTTCTTCACGTTTTGAAGGTTTGTCAACATTTGGCATACAGACAAAATTGATGTGTGTGCGCATGTATAGATACAATTTTTCGTCCACGTTTTTGGGCGCACGGATCGACCGATTTGAATGGTTTAAAAAACATTCGTTTCCTACTTATAAGGAGATGTGCAGATTAATTTTTGGCAAGAGCAAGTCCAGCCGTTTCGGATATACGGAGCTAAAAGTGAAAAAAAGGATTTTTGAGGAAACTAGTCATCCGATTTGAATGATTCAAACAACTTTTTGCTCGTGTCGACGAGACAATTGCTTTTGGGAAAATGTTTTTGAATGTCCAAAAAATATTTTTTTTATATCGAAAATAATTCAGATTATAACATTGCAATTCAGTTTATATAATTCTTATTAATATCATACAATGTCCTTCATTTTAAATTCGATTGATTAAGTTATGTTTATTTACTTTTCTGTAAACATATATAATTTACAGTATTTATAAAATATTTAATATTCCTCGAATATTTCATTTATTTTTGACATGATTTTAGTTCAGATTTTTGAGATTAAAGAAAAAGCCTAAACCTTAATTAACTTCCCGTAGGGTAAGTTATAGTAATCGCAAAAAAATCGAAAATGAAAATTTTTATATATCTTTACGTTTCAGAGGTTTCTGAACATTTTGGCATACCTTAGAAAAAATGGATGTATGTGTGTGTGTGTGTGTGTGTGTGTGTGTGTGTGTGTGTGGGTGGGTGTGTGTGTGTGCGTGTGTGTATGTATGTGCGGATACAAATTTTCGTCGACGATTTCGGGAACACGGATCAACCGATTTGAATAATTCAAAAAACATTCGATTCGTATTGATAAGGAGACGTGCTGATTAGTTTTTGGCGAAGGCAGGTCTAGCCGTTTCGGAAATACGGGGCAAAAAGTACCGGAAACGGTAACTCAGTTTTTAAGAGAACGGAGCGTCCGATTTTAATAATTCAAAAAACATTTTACTTGTATTGACAAGATAAAGAATTGATCAAATTTTCATAAAGGCAGGTCTAGCGGTTTCGGAGATCTAACGAAAAAAGTAAAAAAAAATGCCATTTGGCGGTCAAAAATGATCATTAGACATATGCACATCAAATTTTTAGATATTTTATAGAGATTTTAACAATAAGTATAAATTTTGTTTATTTTCCTATGGGTTCCGTATCAATGTTTACCCGTTAGACAGCGACGCCGCGCATACGCGCTTTATATTTTGTCTCTATGCAGTTAAAGCAGTGCGATTGCTTTGAAAAACAAGTTCAGATCTTCCAAAATATGTCAAAATAAAGAAAACATTTTTTTTTTCAAAAAAAAAAAATTTAAAAAATTTTTTTAAAAAAAAAAAAATTTAAAAAAAAAAGTAATTTTTTGTCCAATTTATAGTTTGTCAAAAATCTTATTTTTTCGAAGTAAATTTTTTTCAAAAATGTTAATCGTTTTTAAAAAAAATAATAATTTTTGGTACGGGAAGTTCCAGCAATTTGCCTTAAGGCACGATGCCCTAATTGCCTTAAGACAGAATTCCACTTACAGCTAGTTTTGGGGTCAATTTGATTTGTTTGAGTTTTTTTAATGCGGAAGTGTAAAATATATATACATACAACTCTTTTTACTTCAAAATTATATTTGTTTCTATCTAGAGTTGTCCGTCCCCTAACATTTATTTTCAAATGGAAATTTTCTTCATTTTAATTTTCTATAATTCTAAATTGATCTAGTGCTGTATGGCATTCGCCTCAAGGCAAATTGTTGGAACTTCCCGTACCGTAATGAAATATTCAAGAAAAATTAAATCTTCTAAATAGATTATTATAAATACTGTAACTTTCATTATTCTTATTTTATAGACAAAATATCAGAGTTTATGAATTATAAGACAAAGTTTATATATGTTTCCAGAAAAATAAATAAACAAAATTTAATCGGATTTCAAAGCATTGATCGGATTTAAAATAAAGGACATTGTCCAATATGTTCTTACTTCGACAGAACATATACTAAAATTGGAACGATACAGAGAAGATTAGCATGGCCCCTTTGCAAAGATGACACGCAAAACCGTGAAGCGTTCCACATTTTTTTTAAAAAAGGCCGGCCGTGGTCCCTTGGTAAGAACGTGGGCTAGCAAATCCTAGTCCCGTTTTCGAATCCAACCTCGGTCGGTTCCGTATCGAAGCAGCTTGATACCAAATTTTCACTTGAAATCTTAGATTTCAAAATATCATATCAAGTGAAAATAGCCTTTCGTGAGCATTGCTGCAGCATACGTATATGCAGCGGGGAGCAATAGCTGTTGTAGCAACATGCCTCTTACAAGTAAGAGGTACTCGGATTGTATCCCTGAACTACAAAAGAAAAAGGACTATGGCTTGGTGCACCTATGACTGAGTTGGAGATTAAGGCAATAAGGTCTTCTACCTTCGGGCAAAGTTAAAATTCAAAATATGTAATAAAAAGGAAAAAGTAAAAAACATGTAGTATGTTAGAAAAAAGTAAAATGTACGAGGTCTGTTCAAAAAGTACCCGGAATTTTCGTTTTTTTCAAAAAAAATATTTATTTATTCGTCTACATTAATGTGGTCCCCTTCAAAGTAGTCCCCCCCAGATATAATACACTTATGCCAGCGTTTTTTCCAATTTTCGAAGCACCCTTGATATGTCCTTGAGCACTCTCAGCGATTTTCTTCAATCGAGGAAAACCGCCGTCCTTTCATGGGTCTCTTCAACTTTGGGAATAGGAAAAAGTCACACGGAGCCATATCTGGTGAATTTTTGCACTTTGCAACACTTTATTTCATTTTTTACGCAAAATTTAATACAAATTCTTTGACTTTTCAATTCTTCCATTGTAAAAATCGCCGAGCTCAGAAAAACACGTCGAACCTTAGCGACTACCACAGACAAAGTAAACAGTGAATATAGCTGAAAATTTCATCATACTTTAGGGGCATGTATACCAACACAATAAAAAAAAAATTTTGACAATCAGACACTCCAGACCCGCGAAATTTAATTATTAGTAATTCCGGGTACTTTTTGAACACACCTCGTATGTAATACGTAAGAACAAGTTAAAATGTACGTAAGAAAAAGTAAAATGAATGTAAGAAAAGTGTATTAAGTATGTTAAAAAGAAAGAAAAGTATATTAAGTATGTAAAATTGTAAGAAAAAGTAATAAAGTATACAAAAAAATAAATAATAAATATGAGATTGATTCATATTCGGCATGAAATATAAATCACACACAACTTCTATATAAATAAAAAAAAAAAAATTATAAAAATTATATAAAGTGAAGAGCAAAGTTAAAATTATTTATTTGAAATATATTGGTGAGCTTTAAAACTTTAGCTAGAATTAAAATTCAAATCCTAATTATTTTCATATCAATATTCAAAGAAAAAATTTTGATTGAAAAACAAAATAATCCTCCAAAAATTGAAAATAAAAATTTTATGCATATCTTCATGCTTCAGAGGCTTCTGAACATTTTGGCATACCTTAGAAAAAATGAATGTGTGTGTGTGTGTGTATGGATACAATTTTGCAGGCGGATCAACCGATTTGAATTGTTCAAAAAAATATTCGATTCCTATTGACAAGGAGATGTGCTGATTAGTTTTTGGCAAAGGCATGTCTAGGCGAAAAAATACAAAACACACACACACACACATCCATTTCTTGCCAAAATGATCAGAAACCTCTGTCTCAGAAACTTATCATGCTTTGGTACTCGAAGCTTACTTAAATTTTATCTACGTACCTATAACACATTTGTTTTTAATCCTTATCCCTGATCCAACAACACATTTAATCTCAAATATGTTATTTTCACCAATTTCATGTGAATAAACAGTACAGCCCACTTCAAAAACATTATTTGATCCAATTATTAAAGGTGGTGCTGGTTTACCATCAGTTGATCTGTAAAACATTCATATGATATATGATTATTATAAAAAGGAAATAATATATATATATATATATATATATATATAGTACAAATATATAATGATTAGTAAAATTACTTATAGATTATGGAAGCATATTCTTCTACAATACAATTATCACCAAGAACCACTGGTCCCGCTGATGCTATAATGCACGCTTTGGGGTGTAATACACAACCAACTCCTGCAAAATTAGTTAAATTGAAAATAATAATTTTATATTATTAGCATGAAGCCTACCATATAATAAAATAAATTTATATTTGCCTAAAAAACATCATAAAATAACATTAAAAACTAATTTTAATTTAATTAATTTACATAAAAGGTGATAAAATTTTACTTAAGATTTAATTTTTTACAACTAACAAATCTATTTAGTATTGACAAATTTGTATTCATTAGAATAATTTACAAGTATTACATTTTCTCTACTAAAACATAAATTAAATGAATATACAGTAGAACCTCGTTTTTCCGGACCTCAGTTGTACGGATTCGTGATTATCCGGACTACCAACCGCGACCAATTTATATGTATGTACATACCTACAATTCAAATTTGTGCATGATTAATGCTGCAGTTTAGTATTTGTATATAATGCGATCTAAGAAACTATGTATGTACATACATAAGAAAGTGTTAATTTCTTAATAAACATTGATATTTTTTATTTCTATGTATATATTTGTTATTTTTAACGAATACAAAACATTATTCTTCATACATTCGATTATCCGGATTTTCGATTATTCGAATGCCCATCGACAACAATTAGTCTGGTTAATCGAGTTTCTACTGTAATGTATTATTTTATTTAATTACGTCTCTTCTACAAAGACATTATTTAACGAATACGGTGTATTATTTTATTTAATTTCCCTTACCAATAGTAATTTTTCCTTCTAAATGGCTGTCTTCACAAACTAAAGCTCCTCCATATATTTTCAATCTAGAACAATTTTAGTTTAAAGAAACCACATATCCTATACACACATGCATATATATGTAATAAAATATATATAATATAATAAAATAAATAAAATTCATATAATACGAATCAAAAATACTAACTCTGAATGATGTGACATTTTTCACCAGCTTATATTATAATACATATATTTCTAATAATATTTCTAACTTTTTTTTTACAAATTGATTACATATTTCTCGGCAACTGTCAAACATTGGCACAAACCTGTCAAATTGTGAAAGTATATTGGTGTTGCCATAGCAGGGAAAAAAGGGAATGGCATTTGCGTTTTTTCAAATATATATACTGAAATTAACTACTGAACTAGTTGGTATTGGTATTTTGCCTTGAGGCACACGAATTTCCCGATATGTGTAAATAATCGACTTAATCAATAAAAAATAAATTAATTTAGGAGTGATTGAAAATATTCCGAGTGGATTTATTACCAATAATTGAAAACCAACAAACACGTTAACTCGGAGTATTTTCTAAACGCAAATTTTCAAAATTCAATATTTTTTTATAATTGAACCAGTTTCTATAGGACTTTAATGGTTTAGTATGTTTATTAAGACCAAGTACTCTATCGTTATACCAAGTAAATCGTCTAATTTTAATTTTACAAATGTCAAAAAAACTACTCATTTTCTTTAACTTTATGAAATTTTAAAATTAAACTACTTGCCGTAAGGCCGTAATATTTCAGTAAGTTCTATAAGACAATGATATATATCGCCAAAAAAAATTCCATGAAAATCGGCTTAAATTTTTTTCAACAGTTAATTACAAGAAAACGTCTCGGCCGATCGTCGCACAAAACTGAGAAACGATAGTCCTCATTGAGATACATCAAATGGCTTTTAAATTTCTGAAATCGGTTCAGGCGTTTTTGAGTAAACGAAAGGTCTAATTTTGACAAATGTCGTAGGACCTGATCGTGTATAATCTATAAGATTATGCTATCTACCGCCAAAAAAAAAAAAAATAATAAAAATCGCCGATTTTTTTTTTAACACTTTATTACAAGAAAACGGCCCGGCCGATCTAACCAAAAACTAATCAGCATGATTCTCAACCAATATCTTTTTAACGGTTTTTAAATTTTCAAAATTGCGGGCTAAAACGTGGACGAAATTTGTTTCACTTTTCTGCTATTTATAAAGAAACGGCTTGGACGATCGTCGCACAATAGTCAATGAACGAGATACAATAGCCCTGATCGAGATACATCGAAGGGCTTACGCCTTATGGTAAAAAATCTCTTCACACACACACATACTTTTTTTCAAATTTGGTCTTATTGGATTCAGAATGGTTTGAAACATCGAGAAAACATAAAATTAGCAAATCGGATTTTTTGATGAAAACCTAAACTTCTCCTGTAAAAATGGTATTGTTATGTTGTCTAGAGTTATCGTACATTTATGAATATAAGTCATGTATTATATTTTAATATAAACAACGGGATATTTTGCATTCATTAAAGTAGTATAGATTATAGTTTTATGTTGTAGACAATTTGTAGACTATATCTTCACATGTCTAAAACCTTAAATTAAATTAAAAAAAAAAAAACTAGTGGTGTGTATGGCATCGTGCCTTAAGGCAAATTACTGAAACTTCCCGTACCGTAACGAAATGTTCGAGGAATTTTAAATGTTTTCAAATCGATTATTATAAATAAATACTGTAACATCGTCTAATATCTATAAGAATTATATAAACTGAATTGCAAAGTTGAAAATATTTGTTTAAAGTATATTAGAACTTAAATCAGAATTACAATTAAAATCTGAATGATTTTCGATATACAAAAAAAATTTTTTTTGAAAAAAAGAAAAAGAAATAAAAGTAAAAAAATTGAAACAATTTTTTTTCCAAAAGCAATTATATTGTTAAAACAAGCAGAAAGTTTTTTGAATCATTCAAATCGCACGCTTAATTCTCTCAAAAACTGCAATATTTTGCACATATAGCTCTGTATCTCCAAAACCGCTCGACCTGCCTTTGCCAAAAACTAATCACCATTTCTCATGAATTGAATGTTTTTTGGATCATTTAAATCCGATGCTCCGATCTCTCAAAAACTCGATTTCTATTTTCTGCATTCTTTTTTTCTATCAATAGGAATCGAATTTTTTTAATCATTCACATCGGTTGATCCGTGTACCCGAAAACGTGGACAAATTTTTTTATCCATACATACATACACACACACACATCCATTTTTTCTGAATTATGCCAAAATGTTCAGAAACCTTCAAAACGTGAAGAAATATAAAAATTTTCAATTTCGATTTTTGGACGATTACAATAACTTACCTCACGGGAAGTTAAAAAATTAAGTAACCATAGAATGTAGAAAGTATAAATTTTACTGTAATATTGAATATTATATATTTATGTTATTAATTAAATGTATATAATACATTTGGTAAAATGAAGTTATTCCTTAAAAATATTAATAAAACGAGGAAATTATAGATTTTTTATCGAAACTGGTGTGCAAAATCCAAATTAACTTGCTCATTAAAAGCAAACAATAAATTATATCGCAAATCTGACTAATTAACTGTTATATAGAATTGTTATGTGTTTTCACTTTCATTACGAAATAACTATATCTTGACTATACTTATTTTGCACTAAGTTTTAAAATAAGATATTCGCACACGCACTGGATTGTTTTGTTAAAGCAATACATAGTCATTTTTAAAATCAGCAGGTTTTAGTGGTTGTTGGTTCTCAATGTTTGTTGGAAACTCTGAGAAACTAAAAATATAAGTTTTATTATTAGATTGTTATGACCAACTCTCCTGTAATAAATATCAGTATGAGGCATTTCAATGTTATGATTTTATTAAATCACAATAATTTACAGTTTAATAGTGAAATAAAAAACAACGAATATATTTATATATCTGTATATATATGATATTTTCAAAATATTAATCTGGAAGTTTATATCATTTAACATACCACATTCTATCAAACCAGTCACCCACGTACACTTTTATAATTTACAATAAATATTTTACAAAACGTATATATGTATATTATATATTTTTGAAATTCATATTTCTAATATATAATGAATCTATTCTTTACTAACATATATTTATCATATAATATAAAGAGATTATATAATATGAATGCGATCGCATTATTTGTCATGGTTTGCGTGTCGGGCACGATTATCACGTTCTCACAGTAAAATCAGTGAGCATTTATTTCAGAAAGAAGTAATAGAAGTAAGAAATCTGGCAACTTTAGCAATAAAATATTCTTTTTTGGATTTTGAAATACCAAACTGTAACTTGCACATTGCTAGTTTTCCCCATAATAAGAATTAAATTAGTAACTCGAAATGAATAAATTTAATAGTAGTTATTAGGCACAAATAACCGTTTAACAATTACTATCATTACTTTAGAATATTTGTCAATATAAAGTAAAATAGACCTTCACTAGTCTCAACGACCAATGAATGTTTTTAATTGGATAGAGTATCTGGTATGTTGCCAGTTTCTTGTCAGCAGTGGAATAGATCTTCTAGCCTTATTGTCTTATTCCCGTAGGCCGCTTATCTTTAGCTAAAAGGGCTGCGGGCGCTCCCGACCCATACATTACAGCGTAGAATGGAGCGCCGGCGTTGTTCTGTTCGGGGAAAGTGCCGATATTGTAATCATCGTCGACTTGCAAACTGCTTTCGGCAGCGGACGGAATTGTAGCTAAAGCACGTAATGCCAAACGCGGCGTGTCTGATGGCTCGTCTTGAATGGCCGCTTGGCGAACCAGGCGCGGTTTGACACGAGGCTCCGGTGCGGCAGTAGCTGGTGTCGCACTGCCCGTACTGGAACGTGACACTCGCCATGTTGACGTGCTGGCAGTCGTCGCCGATCCGCTGGAATCGTTCCGGGAGCTCGACAGGTTTGAATCTTGTGATAATTTACGTGTTACTATCCACGAAGCCGCTCTCTTTCGCGGGTCCAGCAGCCTCAATGGAATTCCACATTTGTGCGTTCTTGTTTGACGCCAAGAGTTTGAACGCGATGAACTGAAATTATCGCTAGATAAAGAACCTGTTCTTTTATGCTGTTTTTGTTGAATTTCGGCAATCTGATACGCATATCGATTACTGCCCGTATCAGAGTTACGTGCAGAGCATAGATAACGTCGGGCTTTGTCTATCAATCCTAAAGGTTGTGGCTTGCGTTCCTGCGGTGCTGAGTCACAAAGCAATTTAACGGCACAGCCGCAGGTGTGAGCATTCAGTGGTGGAGCGTCACGCGAAGAGCGTTCTACAAGACTATTTGTATTGGCTGGCGTATGGCGGTTGCTGAAATTCGAGCTATGTCGACAACGACCTATACCACGTGTCACTCGAGATTCTTCAATAGTTTTGCAGATCAAAACACAATCTTTCTTAAATTGTTTCGTTAAAATTGCATACAGGAATGGATTACAACATGAATTCAAAGGAAGTATAAAGACAGCAAAAACTTTTGCTTCTTCCAAAGAAATCAACTGTAAACCGAATACAGCGGTTAATGAAAAAAATGCTATGGGTGACCAACACAAAAAATCTGTGAACACTAATAATGCCATACGTTTAGCAATGCGCGAATCATTAGAATTCCAGGCGTGACTTCCTTTAATAGCGCAGTACATCTTTAAGTAACATCCCATCAATATAAGAAAAGCCAAACCGTTGATAAACATCAAAAACACAACATATGTTAAACTTGCACGATCCGTTGTTTCAAATGGTAGACAGATTGCGAATTTTCTGTAATCTGATACACCAAATAATGGAAGCAATGCCATAGCAAGCGCGAACATCCAACCCACAGTCATAATATAACCGGCATGTTTCAGCGAGAGCCTTTTATTTAGATGCATTGCATGTGTGATAGCGTAATTTCGTTCCAATGTTATAACGGCCAATGTATAAACCGACAACTCGGATGATAAAACGGCAAGGAATCCTGCCAGTTGACACCCCAACGACATCTGCCAAGGTATCGCAAACATACGGAATTTTCCTAGAGTTGATGCATCCACGACAGCAAGTAGACCTAAATATATACCCATGAAAAAGTCTGCTGCAGCAAGATTACATACTAGAAATCGTGGTACATCCATTTTGGATCTAGAAAACATCAGGACAAATACCACTGTTCCGTTGCCAAGAATCGATAATAAAAATACTACCCATACGCCGCATCTGAGTGACCACCAATCGAATAAATCTTCACAAGGAAGAAATGGACCTAGAAATATGAAATAAAACTAAGTATTGAGATAGAATTGACGCGATATAAAATGTCAATCAATTGTTATTATATACTTCTAAAAACTAATAATACAAAATGTTAAACCTCACCCGGAACAGGAAGACATTGAATGTTTCCTGGAGGAATGGCACTTGCTGAACCAGTCTTCATATTTTCTTCTTGGAAATATTCATCTACGTAAGTAGGTAGATTAACAGGATATGTAAAATCTGATCCAAAATTTTCCCACAATTCTGTTATTTCACTTCCAAACTTGTTTGATAAATTTTCTGTCATGAAAATATCGTGAATGTAATCCAAATTGTGAATTCAAGTTTTATATTGTATTTTAGATTATAAATTATAGAAAGGTTAAATAATTTATGATTCAAATACTATTAATTCGAATATTAAGCTTGAATTATTACTCTTTTTAATTTTTCTTAACATTTTGTAGAGATGCGATAATAATTATATTACAATATATGAATCATATATGATTTAAAAATGAGACAATAAAATCTAAAAGATGCTTACGTAATTGCGGCCACAAATCAGTTTGGCTGCTGTTCCATAAATTCATGTCCAGTTCCATGTCAGGCATAGGAAATATAATGGAATCTTGTAGATTTGTTTTCGCAACCGATACTTCAGCAACAATTGGCAAAAATGCACAGCAATGATAGGCATAAGAAAGTATTAAACTCTAAAAAATTAAAATTAATAAAGCAATACTCATTTCATGTTTCATAGGTAAGAAAAATTCACCTGTATTCGAGGAAAATGTTCGGGATCTGGCAGTTCTTTTAATTTGGCGTTATTAAATGTTTTCAAATGTAGTAATTTCTGTAATCCCTGCGAAGGCAATTTCGCAAACATGTTATTTCCAAGATTTCTGCAAATAAAAACTTTTTATTAATATTTTAATACATACTTAAAAATAGGACCGATAGTATAAGCTACTGAATGGCTATTCAAGGCAGCAGCTTGAATTAAATTATATTCTCTTATCCAGAATTATTGTACTCTCAAATAAAAAAATAAATTTGAGGAAATATTGATTAGTTTTTTTATAGCATTTTCAAAAAATAAGGAATTTAAGGCGAGTCATGTATATAATTGGAAACAAAAATTTAGTTTTATTTCCAGGCAGAAAAACCAAATATTCATTTTGTTCTCAAGTATTTTAACGGTCATCAGCCTATGAAATCAATTCTTAACATTTTCTCAATATAATATGTTTGAAGATATAATAATACTTAAGAATGTATTTTTCCATTTCAACTTATAAAAAAGCCTTATATATAATTAAACAATTTATTTTAATCACTCACAAATCTTCTAGCTGTTGAAAGTTCACAAATGCTTCTGGGTCTATATACTCTATTTTGTTTCCTTCCATATTTCTGCAAAATTTAATATCAAAATTAGGGACTAAACTTAATGCAGAAGTTGTAAAAACATTACTTACAGCACTTGTAGCTTGTTCAAACCAATAAAATCATCTTTAGTTATGGATTTTATATCATTATGAGCTAATAGTAAATCGTGTAATTGGCCCATGTTTCTAAAGGGTGTGCCGTCCAAATCTTTTATCTTGTTGCTGCTAAGATCACTAAAATGTTTTAACAAAATACAAATAATTTTTTTCAAAAATTAGAATATAGAGCATAAAGCATCGTTATCTTGTAGGTTAATTATTAGAGTAATGCTCCCTCAGTACTAAAATAAATTTAAATTTATACAGAGTGTCCCAGAACTTAATGTCATGCCAAGACGGGATGATAGTATTGACCTTAACTGTCCTAAAAAATATTTAAAAATTATCTCACGTTGATTGGAAATTATGAGCTTTTAAGTGTCAATTTAAAAAAGTAGTTTTTTACTGTTTCGGCTCGACGTCAAGTTCTGAGATAACCTGAAATGAAGAATGCACTCTGAAATATAGATATAATAAAAAAAATCTATAATACAAGTAAATATTGCTTGAGTTGTGAATTGAATAACTTCATCTAGTTTCTCATTTCTTTCAAAATAAATTTTAATTTTTATAAATACAAATTCTGTTCCAAAAGTATAACTCCGAAGAAAGAAGACATTGCGATAAAGATTATAATAATAATTCATTTTATAATTAATAATATTTTAATCAACTTACAGAACTCGCAAATTTTGACAGGCAGCTAGATTAGGCAAAGAGTTCAGTCTATTAGATTTCAAGTCCCTGTAATTCAAAATAACAAATAGTAATTTATATTTATTTAACCAACTTTTGATAATATGTAATATTTTAGTTAATTTTATACAATTCATTTACATAAATACGTTAATGAAAACTGAATCCGAATTAGAAAACGGAATCGATGAATTGACAAATGAGAATGTAGGAAAGAGATGATATTTTAAAAAAATCGGTAAAACAAGAAATCAAATATGTGGATGAATTTAAATTTAAATACTTGAGAAGAGTAGAACGGGGCTTAAAGATCCGCGGGTAAAAAGGTCCAGCGCTGATATCTCAAAAATCAGTGAAGTTTAAATTTTAATGAACATATTTCGATATTTGTTTGTTTGATATATGTTATATGGTTTTCTGTGGCTGATTTTGATTTTACAGTATAAAAAGAGTTAAGTGTGAGAATTGAGACTCATTATTTTATTTAAAGCAGTTCTACATTTAACATCAATCATATTGATGTACATATATACATTTCGGTGTAAATAGTAATTTAAAAAGAATTAGAATATTAAAAAGTTTGGAACTTTTTAATTGTAGATGCGGGTACAGGACAACGCCTATCCGGCATTATAGTATTATTATATTAGGACGATTCAATTTGTATGGGTAAAAAAAAGTCGCATAGGCACATAACATTTTCGTAGGCTAGGGATCAAAATAAGATACTTTGCCGAAGAAGCCATATCTCTAAAATGAATTCTGATGTCCCATGCATTCACCCAAAGGTTGGGTCAAATTTTGAAAAATCTTGTTTTGGCTCATTTTGAGCGCCCCAATAGTATCCAGATGTATGACCGACTCCCAGTAACTTTGGAAAGCCGATCTACTCATGCCTATGGTTCACCCCCTGCGACCTCCCTTTAGAGGTTTACTATACAAAAGTTGCATCATTTTGGGTACTTGAACATGACTAAAATCAGCGATTAATTTTTATTATAAAATTTATTTAATCATAACATATGTGAATAAAACTTTGTAAAACTTATAAATTATTGTTCGAAGTTTTTTTTTTGTTTCAAGTAGGAAAAATTTTGCACGGCTCTCTAATATCATCGCCGCATAACAGCTAGCATAGAAACGCACACACAGACAAAATGCATTAGAAAAATTGAAACCAAGAATTTTAATAATTATTTTTGTGAAAAAGCTTTTTGTGTGTATATAAATTAATATCTGAAAAAAGTGGTTTAAAACACCTTTTTTGCTGAGTAAAATACCAAAAACGATGATTTTTTGCAATTTTTGTATGGAAGACCTCTAGAAGAGAGCTCCCAGGGGGTGAACCATAGGCATGGGTGGATCGGCCTTTCAAAGTTAGTTGGGGATTATTATACATTTGGACGCGATTGGAGCACTCTAAATAGGTTAAAACGGAATTTTTCAAAATTCAACCCTTATCTTTGGGTCAATACACGGGACATCAGAATTAATTTTAGAGGTATCGTTTCTTCAGCAGAGTGTTTTATTTTGATCCCTAGTATCCGAAAATCATATGTGCTTAAGCGACTTTTAAACGGACCCGCCCTAAGATATATGTATTTAGACTTAACATCAAATACAAAAAGTAAAACTGTAGTAGTTTCTGCATTTTGCCAATGCTGCATCTGCGACCTGAATTCGTACTAAATTTCTTACAAAAACGTCCACGTCCGCTGTTTTCTAATTAGCAAAGAGCAAACTGCACTAACGGGCAAAGGTGGTTGAGGGAAGCGGCCGCTGCAGGAGATAGATTGAGATTGTGCATTATTCCAGCTTTTGCATTTCTTGCATAATTAAATTATTGTTAGCTAAAATATTTACACTCAATGAACGCATAAATTAATCCTTATAAATTGACAATATCTACTCCAAACGATTTTAACTTTACACTTGAATATTTTATGTATTGTGTTTATCATATAATTTGTACCTTGCATATAAGCGTATAATTTTTAACTTCCCTTAGAGTAAGTTATAGTAATCGCAAAAAATTCGAAAATAAATATTTTTATATATCTTTACTAGTGATGTGCCGACTCGAAAATTTCCTGATTCGAGTGATTCGAATCAGAAAAAAACCTGATTCGAATCATGATTCGAATCAATTCGAATCAAGTTCATATATGAGCAATTATTAGGTTGTCAAATATCTCCCTTCCGCTTTTTTGCTATTTGTTTATAATACAAAAAGGCGGAAGGGAGATATTTGACAATCTAATATAATTTAAGAGAAGAAATAATATCATTTTAATAATTTTATAAGTGAAATAATTAATTTAGTAAGCAATTAGTTCCAAAAAGTGCAGAGATGAATACATTTATATTATATATATATATATATATATATATATATATATATATATATAATAATAAACTAGCTACAAATATAACTAATATTTCAAGTGAATTTACAGTAAAATATAACCAAACACTTCTCTATCACTAAAGCATATAAAACAATATTCTTAATCTTACGTTGAAAGAATGCATGTGTATATTATTGATTGTTTAGATCTAATTAAACAGGGGGCTGAATCTAACGTCTTACGAATGATTTAAAATTCAATCCTCTACTCACTCTACTGTAAAGATTGATATTATTTTCATTTGTGTGAATTTGCCATTACTTGCATAATTAAAATATGATAATTTTGTATGTGTATAAAACTCGTTGTGTAGTTTATTTTGATAATAATTAAAATTTAAATCGCGTATTTATTATCTAAATGAGTTTTTGATATTTCATGAACAAATTTGCTCTCAGCGCTTAGTCAAAAATAAACAAACACTCAAGACCCATACGCACAGCATCTCGATAAGTCGATACGCTGAAACGCGGACACATGTTTCGAATCAAGTCGGTATGATTCAGTTTGAGCCATATGAACTCGGATAAATTCATAACGACTTGAAGTCGGGATAAGTCGGTTTGAGTCATAGGAACTCGAATCAATTCATATCGACTTCAAGTCGGTTTGAGTCATAGGAACTCGAATCAATTCATATCGACTTGAAATCGGGATGAGTTGGTTTGAGTCATAGGAACTCGAATCAATTCATAACGACTTGAAGTCGGGATAAGTCGGTTTGAGTCATAGGAACTCGAATCAATTCATATCGACTTCAAGTCGGTTTGAGTCATAGGAACTCGAATCAATTCATATCGACTTGAAATCGGGATGAGTTGGTTTGAGTCATAGGAACTCGAATCAATTCATAACGACTTGAAGTCGGGATAAGTCGGTTTGAGTCATAGGAACTCGGATGGTATTGTTAGACAATGAATGCGGTTAAAGTCATATAAATTGGAGTCGGGTGATACATTTAAGCGTATTAAAGCCGGGTGACTCGCATGATTTAATTCAAGATTTATTTTTATATTTATTATTATTATTTTTATATTTATTATTATTATTATTTATACTATTATAATATTGAATTAAATTAAAACATTTTTTTATATTATGAAATTTGTGTTCACACATGTTTTATCACAGTAAATATTTCGCGGCTTGATACGAGTTGATTCGAATCAAGTAAAATCTGATTCGAATCAAGTCGTTAAAGGCTTGATTCGAATGATTCGAATCACTTGATTCGACTTGGCACATCACTAATCTTTACGTTTCAGAGGTTTCTGAACGTTTTGGTATACCATAGAAAAAATTGATGTATGTATGTGTGTGTGTGTGCGGATACAAAAAAATTAGATTAGTGCTGATTAGTTTTTGGCATGGACAGGCCTAGCCGTTTAGAAGATACGAGGCAAAAAGTGCCACAAAAGGTAACTCAGTTTTTAAGAGATCGGAACGTCCGATTTTAATAATTCAAAAAACATTTTACTTGTATTGACAATTGAAGAACTGATTAAATTTTCATGAATTTCCAAAAAAAATTCCAAAATTATCAAAATACACTTTTTTCTTCAAAATGTCAAAAAAAGTAAATTTTTGTCAAAAATTTATAGTTTCTCAAAAATCTAATTTTTAGAGTAAATTTTTTCCGAGTAAAAAATTGGTACGGAAAGTTCCAGCAAACGGCTCACCTGATTGTCGCGCAAAACTGAAAAAAGATAATCCACATCGAAATACATTGATTGGCTTTTAAAATTTTTTAAATCGGTTAAAGCGTTTTGAGCAAACGTCGATACATTTGTATAGTTTCAGTTTCAATTAACTTATAGTAAAATTCAAAGTTGAAGCTTAAAATATTAAACATTACTTACTTAGTTTTAGTTTAAATCAATATCGAACTAGTTGTAAGTGGCATTCAAGTTTATACTAGTTTAAATATGGTGTGATTTTGTGTGATAAGTTGCATTGAACTTTCCCATACGCGTAAATGATCAATTTCAAGGGAGTTCTGGCCTACAATTTCAAACAAATCGTTTTCGTTTTTTTTAACATTTTCAAAGTTTAACTAATCAAAGGAAATAACAATGTCATATACTAGTTTTTAACTTCCCGTAGGGTAAGTTATAGTAATCGCAAAAATGAAATAATAATTTTTCCATATACTGACGTTTCAAAAGTTTCTGAACATTTTGGCATACCTTATAATTAAAGAAAATAATATGTGCGTGCGGATACAAATTTTCGTCGACGATTTCGACAACATGGATTAACCGATTGGAATGATTCAAAAAACATTTTATTTGTATTGACAGAAAGAAAATTAACTAAATCTTTGGAAAGAAAGGTCCAGCGGTTTTGCAATTCCAGAAAAAAATGGAAAAAGTGCCATTTGGTGATAAAAACTGATCATTGGACATATGCAGATCAAATTATTGAATATTTTATAGAAATTTAATAAAAATATACATTTTGTTTCTATTTTTTTGGGGTTCTTACTAGTTTTCAACAAAACTGATCATCCGATTAGAATGAAATGTTCAAGGCGTAAATGCTATTTCAAAAAATTTCTAAATTAAAAAAAAATAAGAATTAAAAAAAAATTTTTTTCGAAATTTTTCAGAATTAAAAAAGAAATAAAAACTTCAT